GCAGCACCTGCAAGCACCATTGACGTCAGAGAAATGTGCAGGTGCTGGGTACCTCTCCCGTCCCTGCAAGGGAAAGCAATGCAAAAGCACCAGAGTCGGCAATGGGAACAGAGTCTGGAGGTCATTCTCAAAGCGCCTGTCAGCATACGGCAGCACATGTTTATCTAGTAGCACTTTCTCTGGCCAAGGCAAATGCAAAGGCATTTTATGCAACCTAAAGGGAGCTTTCAAAAGTGTTTCACAGCAGTTCCTGTCTCTGATCATTTCCAGCACTCAAAATAACATCGTGGCTCACGAAAAGTTGTGGAACAGTGTTGATTGTAATTTACTGATGATGCTAAATATGCTCAAAGCCTAGGTCCCTGGCTGCATTTTCATGTGTCCGCACAAGCTCACTGGTGGCAGGGCTCCAAAGACGTTCTAGCTGGGGCCTTTTTCCACAGCAGCCTCCTCTCAAAGGATGAGCTAGAAGCTTCATCAGGACAAGCTGGGTTGGAAACAAGGAGCTTGGGCTGGGCTGACATTGATCTGAACAGCACAGACCCAATGGTGCACAGCATTGGTGCTGGAGAGAGGGAGGCTGGAGAACAGACCTCCCAGCCCGGCTGACTAAACTGAGTGATTGCAACAGCTTGTCTCCAAGCTGTGTCCTCCCTGGAGCATGTTAGCTCCCAGGCACTCTGCCAAGCCAGACTGTAAGCCCAAACCCTACGTGGATAAGTTATTTGCCAGGTAAAGTTGATGGGAATCTGTATCAGCGAAAAGCTCTGCTGGCCGGGATCCTTTTGAAGGATCAGGTCCCTGGAGAACATCCCCTTGTGCCAGGCCCAGTCCTTTCCATGTACAGTGCCCAGGCTTTTGCAGGCATCAAGAAGTGATAAATAAAAATTAGATCTGGCTGGAAAAAAACCTTCCCGTGGGAAATTTTGACTTTTTTGTCAAAAACTCCAATGCGTTTCTTTTTTCAGCCCCAAATAAGCATGAATAGGAACAAAGATTCAGTTTGGCAGTGGGAATGGACTTACCAAAGAAAACACCCAAATTTTCAAGCAAAGCAGACACATTCTGTCATTTTTCTCTCTGGTTGAAAACCCAATTTTCCATTTAAAAAAAAAAGGAAAAAAAAGAAACAAGTTCAGTGAAAAAAAATCTTGTCCGATTCTCACACCACTCGCTGCGGCAAATTCAGCTAATTTGGCTAATTCACCTGCACCTTCACCACTGCTGCTAAGAAGGGTCTTGCCTCCTTTGGCTTCACTTTCTCAATTAGTTGAAGACCATTTCAGAGCGCAGCCACAACATCACCATTAACAGCCATGGGTTTTTTTCACTACTTGTCCCGAGTCTCTGCCTGTCAAAGGCCATGTCTGTGGCCTTCGGACGGCCGCAAAGCCTGACTTTTCTCTGGACTTAGGAAAGAAACTAGGGTGGGCTGATGGTCACGAGCAAGTGGGTGGGAACTGAATGGGGTTATTGTGATCTTTATTCTGGGCAGCGTGGGCTTGGCAGGGCAACGCAGTTGTTCAGCTGAGGTTGTACTGCAGAATGATAGGTTTGGACCTAGGGATTCTGCGGTGACAATGGACCCAAGACAGTTATTCTATAGCAACTTTACCCCTGCAAAGTTTTCACTTCCCAATAAATCCTAATGAGAAGAAAAAGAACTTTCAGCGATTGCTGCTGCAAAAATTTGGCATGGCTAGAAGAACCATTTGTGCATGGTCCAAAATGAAAAGCCTGGCATAAAGTCCTGCACTTTACTGGACACTGGGAACATGTTTCCTTTTCACTGGAAGTAAATTGGAAGTGAGAAAGATATTAAGTGCCACAAGGCCAGTGAAATAACTGAACAGAAGCATTTTCAGGAGCATTTAAGAGCCCTGCAACTCTCAGTGAGACCAAGGGTACAGCAGTGGGCATCCCGACATCGCACTGAATTACTTTTTTTATTTTTTTTATGGTGATTGCACGGTATTGCTTGGTGGGAACCTGTCCCTGCCAGTGAAACGGGACTTCTGGACCCAGCTACCGGTGACAGCGTAGGGCCGGGCATGCACCGGGGTGCCGCGGGCAGAGCTTGGCTGTAGGGGAAATATCCCGGTTCGCTGGCCCAGCTGTGGAGTCCCTTCTCCAGGAGGCAGGCTGTGCTGGGCAGAGGGACCCCGCAGCTGACGGAAGAAAAGCAAAGCCGGCGACTTTTGACGTGTCTGCACGCTTCAAAGCGCTGAATCCCCGGGCAAAAAGAAAGCATTTGCTAAGCGGCGGCTCCCGGAAGGGCGGAGGAGCAGGGAGAAGGGCCCCGGGCAGGGTCCGGCAGCGCGGGGGCCCGGCTCTCCCCGCTGGGGC